AAAATCAGTATCACAATAGCAATATTGCTGGCAATAATTCTTATTCTGGACACCTGGCTGAGGTTTTAAATACTAAACTAGAAGTCTTCCAACATGCACAAAAACACATCTGTCTTTTAGAATTTAAAATAAGCCTGTATTTTTATTTCACCTTTCTATTTTATGAATAAACCAACACAGACTAAGATAGAAACACACCCCAGAGGTGTAGGTAGGTGTCCAGACAAAGGACATGGAAGGTGTTTGCTTAATGAAAAAGCAACTGCCACAGTAACTCCTGTTATTACATGCAGACTATGACTAGGTAGCTTTTAATTTTTTATCCAAGTATCTTTTGCCATTCTTCTGTACTGTTTACTAAACGATGAAAGAAAAATATAAACACATCCTTGATACTCAATAAAAACCCAAAATGACACAGAGGAAGCACACCCTGAGAGAACACATGCACTGTCAGCTGTCTTCCAGGAAGCAGAGAGACACTGTAACCTCTTTTACCGGTTAAGATATTTCAGGAATAGCACCGAAGCTGACAACTACACATTTTCCATGGTAGCCATAGCACAAAGTAACATCACATTTGAAACTCAGTTATTATCGTGCTTAGAAGAATCCATTCTAGATTTGAAAGGAAGTAGCTGGTAAGTCAGCAGAAATGTGATCCACAGTGAATCTAAGTTTTTCATGTATCACCAAAAAAGAACACATCTCAGTTTTTCAGTGCCCTGCAGAATGGATAAGTCTGAAAGCACTTCCAAGTCTGCATTATATATAGTAAGTCCCAAGAGCACAATAACCTCACAACTGCATCAAATTAGCTGCAAAATCCCTGGGAATACTCTTGGTATCAAAGAACTGGGACTGAACTAATTTGGAAACTGAAGGAAAAGCAAAATAAGAAGGAGAGAGCGAGCATAAGAATGGGGACATGAAGGGAAGTGAGTAAACAGGACAAAAAAATGAGAAAAGGTTTTTTGGTTGGCAGAGGGCTCCCACTTCCCTATAGGAAAAGCAAAACCATCCCTGGGTGCTGTGCTTAGCTCAGAGGAGCTGCAAGCAGCACTTACAAAATGTCATGGAGGGATACAAGCCATTCACCATAGACATGGTCCAGCATTTAAGTCCAGCACTGACATCCTGCCAAACATTTATACTTTTTAAAAATATACTCTCAGAGAAAATGAGTGTGAGAGTAGTGGTGGTGTGTGTCTGGAGAAGACACAGATTAAAACCCAATGAACATCTGACATTCACCCAACTCTTTCTGTATATGACAACTCAAATCAAGGATTGTTATCATCTGACTTCCTTTGTAGGACTGAGTTTCCAGCACTTTGCTTGAACAAATGCAACACAATGAATTGAACCTTTTGCTTTGGCAAGATCTAAGCATGCAGACAGCAGTAACTCAGGCCAGCTTTTATACAGACCTGCAGAGAATCCTGGTGAAGGCTGCATATTTCTCTGGGTTGAAGTCTTTGGCTGTCAGGACAATGGAGAAGTGGGTCACCTGCACATGACACAGGCACAGAAACACACAGAGCTCAGTTAATGACCTCACATGAACAGTCTTGGTCACTTCACTGTCAAGGCTCCAAGCTCCTATCTGCAGGAATGGCCTGGACACAGGACTTCTGATGTGACTCAGCTCTAGTACAGACTATCTACATACGATAGCTGCTTTCCTCTAACCTCATGAGGTTATTTAAAAACAGAAAGGCATTTTCCTTCCCCACAGCAGGGAGGAAACTTCCAGAATTTGTTGCCAAAGGAGGCTGTGGAGGCAGACAGCATCAACATATTTAGAAAGAGACTGGAAAAACCACACAGATAGCAGGCCCACTAACAGAACTAATCTAACTTCCTCAATCAAATGATTGTGGGCTGGGACAGTACAAGACTGAAAGTCTGCAGACAATGACCAGGCTCACGTGTCCTCCTGAAATAGCATCTCCCACTGCACCTATTGAAGACAGCACTGTGACATTTAATTTTATTTTACTTCATAGGAAATATGAACTTGAGTGAGGAAAGGCAAGCAACCTTCTGCCGTGGGCATACAAAATTACCACGTTATCTTTCTACTTAACAACATAGCATAAAACATAAAAACTGAACAGACTTAACCAACAGTTTAATGATTTTCATAACAGGGAAAAGATAGAAGATACAATTATATTTGCTGTCTCCCAGTAATCAATACAGTGGAAAAGAAAGTACCTACAAAACTTGATCCTAGGGAGAAAAAAGGCAGCAGGTTCTATAGGAACAAGACTCTGGACACTTTGAAACAAACTCCATAGAGAGAAAAAAATGCTGAACTTGAAATGTAAATTAACTAGAAACAGCAGCATGAAATAGCATTTGTGTGCTAACACACAGAATTGGAAAATGAGCATCTCAATCATTCTGCAATTCCATGTCCTGGTGACAAATGAAACATAGACTGGCTGGGCACCTGGACAGAGCTGCATCTGTGAGCACACAACACCCTGAATCCCTTCTCGTTTCTCTCCATGGGAAAACACTGCTTAACCCACAGAGGAAGCTCTGCAGAAGCCCTCCCTGCGTTCTACCAAAAAACCCCACCAAGCCATACCTTTTTCAAGGCTGGAGAATCTTGAACTTCCACCGTTGTGATGTAGAACCAAGACCTTTTGTACTGGCCGAACACAAACGTATGGAGCACTTTGTTTTCGTCTGTAAGGCAGCACTTTCGCAGCAGCAGAGTCCTCAGTTCCGCTGTTACGGACGGATAACACCAAACCCACAAAGCGTCTCCGTTGGTGTCTTTTTCTATGGTGGAAAGATGTTCACTGTGAGAATGCCAAACAGCAGCAAGGGAGTAAATTGATGGGTTAATCAGGTTTGTTTCCTGGAATCAGATTAAAATTCCACCTTACCCTGACCCTAGACATCCAGTTCAAGCCTTAAGGCAGGAATTCTGACACGGGTTTTATTTTTTTAAATATTAATAAATCTCCATTCTTGACCTGCTTCACGAGGTAAAAGAAGCACCAAGTTTGAATGAACATTCAACACGAGCACGGTATTGAGGAACAAGCACCCGGACCAGCTTATTTATGATTTTCCCTATTTCTGATTTCGCAATTCTGATTCGGAAGCCGCGAATTTCAGACACTTCGGCCGAGTTGTGCACCGCTTAGCTCCGCAACAGGCACAGCCGGCACCCCCGGGCCCGCGGCCTCAGCGCGGCGGGCCCCGGTACTGCGGCGGGCCCCGGTACCGCCCCCGCCCCGGCCCGGCCGCCCCGGCCCTCACCGATCAGCCCCACGGCCCGCAGCAGCTGCGCCTCCGGCTCTGCCATCTTCGCTCCGCCGCCTTCCGCCCGCCCGGCCCCGCTCCTCCCTCACGGCCCCGCTCCGCCCCCCCGCCATTTACTGAGCGCTCCCGCCCGCCCGCTGCCTGCGGCTTCCTCCTCTGGGGCCCGCCCGTTCACCGGCGGGAACGGGGGAAGAATCTGAGAATAGTCAGGTTGGAAGGGACCACGGAGCTCAGCCGGTGCCACCGCTGTGCTGAAGCAGGTCCCCACAGCACGGCACTCGGGAGCGTGTCCAGACGGCTTTTGGACACCTCCAGGGAGGGAGATTCTAAACCTTCCGTGGGCAGTGTCCCAGTTGTGTGATCGGTGGACAATACAGAAGTTATTCCTCGTATACAGGTGGAATTCCGTGTGTTTCTGCCTGTTGCCTCTTGTCCGATTGCTGGACACCACCTGGTCCATCTGACACCTCCGTTCAGGTAGTGACAGAAATGGAGGAGCTCCCTGTCACTTCTCCAGGCTGAACAGACCCAGCTCCCTCAGCTTTTCCTCAAAAGGGAAGAGCTCCAGCGCCGTCATCATCTCCACAGCCCTCTGTAAGTCATGGGGCACAGCTCATGTGAAATGTTACACAAAACGAGGGTGGCTCTGCTGGCAACCACCTCCTGAAGTCACAGCCAGGAGCTGTACCCTGAATAACCCAAAACAGACATCCTTGTGTTTCTACACAACATGGATAAAGGCTGGCTCCTGCCCAAGTGGGGACTGAGTGGTGTGAGGAACAGTCATGGAAGCAGAACAACTATTCCTGAGTAACTCCATGCACCAGCAAGTTTACTGAGAATGTAAAGATCTCATTTGCAAGTTTGGATGAACAGTGGCACCTGAACATTGTACTCCGTGACCTTAAGGGTCTTTTCCAACCTAAATGATTCTAGGAATACCATTATACTGATTAGTAGAAGAAACTTCTGAAATAATGGGAGATAACTAGAGGAGCAACAGAAGCTGCTAAAAAAACATGTGAAGTTCTGGGAGAGGCCAGGCCTGTCCCAGCCTGGCTAGGGAACGCACTAAAGGGCAGCTTGCCATAGGATTTTCATGAAGTCATCAAGTACACACATTAGTAGGAAGAGACAAGACAGACAATACAAAATTGTCGTGGTCCCAGCCTGGAGGGCTTTTAGAGATCCAAAAGCATGGAGTGGGCTGCTCAATAGCAATAAATACCGGTCAGGAGACCTGCAGTCCCCATGGGAGCACAGGTGCCCCCATGAGAAGGCTGCAAGGACAGTCACTGGCTCCGGTGACACGGGCACAGCTGCCACCCCGACCGCAGGCAGTCACCCGAGTTTTAAATTAATTTTATGAACACAAGAAAAGCACTTGTTCAGCACTATAAATACCTTAGTGATGACTCCGCTTAATGCAGACCATACTGAAATACATGTCTGTCATGGCTTAGGAATAGAATTCCCCAATTTAGTGTTCCCACTGAAACATCCCACACCATGCACCACTCGGTCACGTCCCCCCCAACTCCCCCTGTGACAGGATGGAGAACTGGAGGTACAAAAAGGGAAAGATCACGGGTTGGACTAAGAACAATTTACTAGAAGCAGATAAAGAATAGGAAGACAAACAGTAAGAACAATGCTAATAACAGAGTGTGTGAGACAGGTGAACGACTCACACGGGGCCCAGCGCCATCCCACCGCCCCGGCAAACCCCCTGTGCCCCCCGGCACCCTTTAAGGCTCATTCGGACAAAGGGCTTCGTGGAAGGGGCCCCGCGCTCCCCTCCCGATCCCGATCCGCCTCACGGGCTCCATCTCCCTAGGACCCCATCTCACATCCCCAATCCCCCTTCCACTTCTTCCGCGATTCCCCCACCATCCCCTCCCGGTCCCGGTCCCAATGCCCCGTGGCTCCGGTCTCAGTGCCGGCCCCGGTCCCAATGCCCCATGGCTCCGGTCTCAGTGCCGGTCCCGGTCCCAATGCCCCATAGCTCCGGTCTCAGTGCCGGTCCCGGTCCCAATGCCCCGTGGCTCCGGTCTCGGTCCCGGTCCCCCCCGTCCCGTCTGGGTCCGCGCGCGCGCCGGGCGGGGTTTCCGCTTCCGCCGCCGCCGTCAGGGCGCGCGCGGGCCCCTTTCCCTCCCCTTCCCCTGCCGCGCCCTCCCTTTCCGGCCGCGCGTGCCGCCTGGCTGGAGCTCGGAGCCGCCGCCGCCCCGTGAGGAGCCGCCGCCGCCGCCATCATGCCGGTGTACTTCCAGCGGCCCGAGAACGCCCTGAAGCGGGCGAACGGTCAGTGCGGGCCGCGCCCACAAGCACACACAGCGCCGGTTCGCCTCGCGCGCCGCTCCCCGGCTCCCGGCCGCGCCCGTCCCGGGACCACCCGGCCGGGCCCGCCCGGGAGAGCCCACCCGGAATCCCCCGGCGNCGCGCCGCATGGCGGAGGGGAGGGAGGCCCGGCGGGCGCGGGGAGCGGGCCCGGCCCCGCCTCCCGCTCCCCTGGGCCCCACGGCCGCCTCCGGGCGGAGGGGGAGCCGCGGCGGCCTCGGCTGGCACGGCCTCATCCCGCGGGCCTGAGCCGCCGGCACCAGGGGCGGCCGGGGCCGGGCATGAGCGGGCCGGACCGCGCTGCCCTGCCGGGGTGATCGCGAACCCGGGCTGATCCCGGGCCCTTCTGTCCCCTGTGGGCTCCGCGTGTTGTATGCCGTCCTTCACGTGACTCCGGTGAGAACGCAAATGGTAAAACTCCCGCAGTGCTCCACGGGCTGATAGCACCGGTTTGCCCCTGGAAGACCGACCGTGGAGACAATTCAGCGCTGTAGCCGGTGCTTGCTGACTGCCATATAAAAGCTGGACTGGTTATATTTATCAGTTGGCTCATTTCGGGCCAAACATATGGCTTTGACGCTTCTGTTTTTTATAGTCTCCTATTTTAAGCCCTTAGCAAGACCATTTAGACTGATCATTGTCACAGGGCTGATCGAAAGATGACACTTAAAGACATCCACAACTTAGAAATTATTTATGGGTCTTTAAATGACAGCGGGAGAGGCTGTGTGGTCTGGGGACTGTGCATTATTCAAGCACTTAGTATATTAACAAGGAAATGTGAAAGTACTGCACATTCTCAAGATTTTTAATCAAAAATTCATTGTAAAAGTCTTTCCCACAAAGATAAAAAGATGAAAGATAAAATCAGCTTCAGTCAGCATTCAGGGATGAAGATGTGTTGTATCAGTCCTTTCACTGGAAAAGATACATGTACCATAATATATAAATTTTATTTATATTTGGGAATTCTTGAGTAGAGGAAATGGTATTTGGTGTGCAAGTTACATTTCTGGAATATTGACTTTAAACTGCTCATTATTATTATTGATGCTTTCCTGGTATTTAAGTTCATATTTGTTATACTGCTGCAAGTCTGCCAAGTTGTGTTGAAGTGAAGGAGTGGAGTTGAGCTGAAGGGGGTGTTCTCCAGACGGATGCTGGCAATCCTGAATTTCAGTGGACTGAATGGAAAACATGACAAGCAGTGTCAAGTCTTACAAACTGCAGGGGCTCAATCTTACCACAGCCAAGCATATTAAAGGGTGGAAAGTCGTACCTAAGGCAGATTGTGTGTTGCAGGAAGCAGTTTAATGTTAAACTGGCATGTTAAATGGGGACATTCAGTGCAGTTTCTAGAGTTTCAGTGTGTGTTTTTGTAAATAAGGCTCAAGTGTCCATTAGAAGCACTTCATGTTCTCAGTGACTTCAACGTACAGAGATGATGTTTGGAAATAGGAAGAGCATGAAGGATTTTAAGTATATACAGATATGTAAGAAAAGTGTTTTTATAATTGATAAATGTAGGTCAAGGCCAACCCTCAGCTATTGTTAGTATTTGGCATTGCTTTGTACTCAGGAATGCAATGCAACTTTAAGGAGTGTTTTATTGTTGCAGATACTAAGCCTGCTCACTGTAAGAGATACTGTAAAGCACTTGACGTCTTTGTCACCTCTTGTAGTGATGTGTTTTCTCAGATTGAAAATTGAGCTTAATTCAGGATTTTGGGTTAGCAGCAGTAGGTGAGTTCTTGATGTGTATCAGCTGGTTCTTGACCACTCAGCTTCAGTTGCTACTCTGGATACCTGTTAGCATTTTAAGTAGTATAAAAGAACAAAACTAGTAGAAAGTAACTCTTACAGCTACTTATGGACTCAGCCTTACAGTTTATATGTTACAGATCTGAGTTTCCATAACTTACAGTTCCTACTGCCAAGCTTGGTGTTGTGTGCTGTATGTGGTTCTTCAGGTTGATTTTGTGCTTTTTACTGAAGTGTCTCTTAAATTAGCCTTAATTATTTGACTTACTTGTAAGAACCTGCTTGGCCAGAGTTAATTAAAAGTTTCAAAACAACATAAATTAATTTTGTGCTTTGTCCAGTTGGTTATCGACCACTGAGAGCTGTGGTTGGAGTGCCCTGGCATTTTTGCAGGTTCAAACTTGCCTTTCAAGTTTATTTCCATAAATAAAGTGTAAAGCTCAACAGTAATTGTCTCTGAGACAAAAGCAGCTCTGAGATAGAATAGCAGTGTAAATTATGGGATGGAGGGTAGCTTTATTAAAATTGCCGTGGTGAGTAAAGTACTGCTGGGTACTGCCACACCGTAACTGATTATCTTCAGTTGTATCACTGTGCTTTCTCTAGAAAGGAGCTTGCTCATCTTCTGCCAGTGCATTATTTACATGAACTGGTCCATGAATATGAACTGTTGTCGTCCTTAAATTAAAACCATTCTGCTGATTTCAGTCTAAACCTTTTGCCATGTTTAACTTCAAATTTGAGATTCCAAAACTCGGAAGCTCTGTCTGATGTCTGAGCCCCTGGAGCAGGCCCCTGCTTTTAATAGTTTCTGCCATTATTTCTTTAGGAATGGAGTGCTTTCCAAGGTACTTCATGGCAGTACTGACTCCACCCCTCAGCCTTTAAGAACAGCCACTTTTCCCACTAGCTGTACTTGACCTCCCTTATCTTTTAAACCTGTTTGCTTCCCATTCTGTGTGTTCATTTCTCCTGCTGTTCTGCAGTCCAGAGTACATTCAGAGTAGGGTCTGTGTGTATGTGGGTCGCTGCCTCAGTGTTTCCAGTGGGTGGTTTGCTGTTTTTTGTGAGGCAGAATGTGTGGGGTGTCAGAGGTGGGAGTTGCTGATGCTGAGAGCTCCTGTTAATAGCAGCAGCTGCTTAGGGATGAATAAATGGGGCACTGGTTTCAGCAGCAAGGCTGATCTAAAAAGTGTCTGACCCTTCAACTGAACTGCAGCAGCTTTTGATGTAACATCTGTAAACTGAAGTGCTAAACCACTCAAGAGTTAAAAACAACAAATGAACAGCTTTGCTGAATTAAGTTTTTTTCCTCCCTCCCTCACCTGAGAGCAGGACTTTAGTCACATTTGTGGCATGCTTTGCACCTTGTTAAATGCCCTGGGTAGGTGCTGTACCCACAAGCCTCCTGGTGGATATTCCTCGTCCTTGATGAAACCAGGGTGGTTAAAACTGGATGTGTGCATTCATACACGTTCATGTGTATGAAGTGCTCAGTCATGCCTGGATGGATGGAGAGGCATCTCTGCTATCCTGAAATTCCCATGTGAATTTACTGGTCAACGTTTGTTTGCCGGTTATGTCATTGAACGTGGCACTGAGTTGCCAACATTTTTGATCTGGCCAAATAAATCAAACCATCAGTGCATTCTGGGTAGAGTTAATTAAATACTGAATGTTTCCTGTGTTAAGCATAAAAAAATGCATTTTCAGGTGCGCAAGTTTTTGCTAACTGAGATTTTACTTTCAGAATTTCTTGAGGTTGGCAAAAAGCAGCCTGCCCTTGATGTTCTCTATGATGTTATGAAAAGTAAGAAACACCGAACATGGCAGAAAATCCACGAGCCAATTATGCTGAAGTACCTGGAGCTCTGCGTGGATCTGCGCAAGAGTCACCTGGCAAAAGAAGGATTGTACCAGTACAAGAATATTTGCCAGCAGGTATGGCTTTTGATTTTTTATTGTATGTATTTATAGCAAGCGTGGTATCTGTCAGCTGATACAATCTAAAATAACTGATTTGTCCTGAATTGGGATTAATATGCCTTTTAGATGTTCTTGGGTTTGTAGCAGTTACATTTTAAAAGATATGTTGCCTATTGTGGGTGGAAACATCTTCCCATTTTTTTGCCTTTGGTGTAGGTTAACATCAAATCTTTGGAGGATGTTGTTCGAGCCTATTTAAAATTAGCTGAAGAAAAAACAGAAGCAGCTAAGGAGGAATCCCAGCAGATGGTACTGGACATAGAAGATTTGGATAACATTCAGACTCCAGAAAGGTGTGCAGCCTGTCTTTAATCACAGAAAGTGTCCTTAATTTCATTTACAGAGCTGAGATATAAATGTGGTAGATTTGAAGTTGAATACTAGTGGTGTTCTAATGGTTTTAAAGGTGGGGATGAAAGCAGGGATTTTACATTGAATGAAATTCTGAGTAAAGAAAGCAGGCAGTAAGGAGTAGAAGATCTAGGTGCAGTGGGAGTGGTTCTGAGAGTTGGGTCACCACTTTCCAGTGTCTGCTCAGATCTGCATCTGTAGTGGTTTTGGAGAGTTTATTATGGTAAACTAATCATTGCTAGTTGATGTAGAATTGCTGTTAATTACATCAGACCAATGTAATTCTTGTGTGTGGTAGCCTCCGTTTCTTCTGACCACATTGTGCACATACAAACAAAAGGAAATGTTACTTTATACTTGCTTGGTTAAGTGATGAGATAATAGAAGAAAGGACATGAAAAGTACAGTCAAGAGAGAATTAAAAGGATAGGTAATGAGAACATAGAATGGTGATAGAAATGATAAAAAATTGGAAGAAATTACTAAGTATTTGTCTTGTGTAGGAATAGAGTTGTAGTAGTCAAATAATATTCATAAAGACCTGGAGTAGAAGGCTCTGTATTTACATGTTAACAGCAAAACTCTCTAGTAGAAGTTGGTTGCCAAAAGAGAAGGTGACAGACATGTCTTCAATAAGGGGCAGTGCCATTCATGTTATTTCCAGTGCCTGAAATTGTTACAGAGGAACCCACTAATAGTTAAACAGTGAATACTGACTGACCTCTCTTTTCCTTGTTCTCCTTTATATAAAAAAGGACTAGAGAATGGATCTTTTCAAACACACTTCTCCTCTAAACCAGCACAGTTTCCTTAGTGTTTTTTAGCTCCTATGTTCTAGACTTCTCATGCTTTTTTGCTGGATTCACCTCTTGATCTGTTAGAGAAAGCTCTGGTGATGTGTCGTATTTAATAGTTTATGTAGTACCCAAGGATGCAAATTAGAACTGCAAATGGTGTAGTAGAAAAGATACAAGAGTTGAGACTTTATATTAAAAACAGTTCAAAAAGAATTTTCAAAATGAAGGCTTAGGGAAGATGTTTTTTTGTGAGTTTAACATGTTGAGTGGATTGTTTAGCAGAAAGGGATCATGTGGGACATAGCACTGAATTGGTCGCAGTGTCTTGGGAATGCCCTGTATTATATTCCTGTGATGTATTATTGTATCTTACTTCTGATGTATTTAAGCATCTTTTTTGTGTCAGAATTTGTAAAGGATTTGAAATGCTAATATGAGTATTCTGGGTTCTGATGTGTGCAGATCATAACACCGCTCTTGTGTCACATGTCAACATGAAGTGAACTCTGGCAGCAGTGCTGGTGACTAAAAGGGAAGTGTCAGCAACTGCTAAAGTGTCTTTATTGACACTGATACTTGACTCTAATAGAGGTACAGGACACAGCTCCCTGCTAGGAAAGAGAAGGTGAAAATCCTGGAGTTAGTTTCTTTTGAAGGATGCAAGTTTCTGATGTCTTACCTCTGGAGCTCGAACATGTCAGTTCAAAGTTTGAAACTTAAAACTTTGAAATAATTATCTACATCCTTTAAAGGAAAAGGGAGCAGTCTGAGGGACCAGTTTGAAAATAAGCAATAGACCATTCAGCAGCAATTAGCTGTTCAGATTTGTCCAGACTCATCTTATAACCTGGTAAGAAAAATTGATGAGAAAGAATTGTGGGGAATAAACCACTTCTCTTTTTTCTCTTTCCTTACCCTGCTGCCCTGACTGAAGTGTTCTTTTGAGTGCTGTAAGTGGAGAAGACACTCAGGATCGTACTGACCGCCTGCTTTTGACACCCTGGGTTAAATTTCTGTGGGAATCCTATAGACAGTGTTTGGATCTTCTCAGAAATAATTCTCGAGTAGAACGCCTGTACCATGACATTGCACAGCAAGGTAGGTGCAAAAGATGGAAACTTGAACTATAATGATGTGGTGTGCCCCCTTAAAGGGAGGGAACATCAAAATTTGTAGATGCATGTGGTCAAAAGGAACAAGAAGAATCAGAGGGTCTTCAAAAGCTTATAAAGTTTTAATAGCAGATGACTTGCTTGGCATGAGAATTGGTGTGTTAGTCCCTGACCTCGCAGTATGAGCACATGGCAGTGGGTTTTGGGTGAAGGAATAGGGTGAAAGAAGAGAGGGTTGAATTAAAGAGAGGGCTAGAGAGAAAGAATGGGAGGGTAAAAGAGAGAAGTCACCAGTCCTCACTCCAGTGTTGGTCTAGCTGGTGGGGGTGTCCAGGGTTCTGGGATGTACACACACCTGGGCTTGACCTTTTTATAGATGAGTTTCTCACTTGTTGTGCGAATCCATTCTCATGCTCTGTCTGTTCTTCTGGACATTTCTGGAAATGGGTTGGAGGGCTTCCAGGGTTTTGGGTGGTCTTGATTCCCCTCTACAGTCCATCCCCTCTTCTTGACCTCTTTCATGCATTTGTGTTGTGCTTAACTCTGGAAACCAGAACAAGGACTGGTGTTTAAGAACTATGGGGTTAATGACAGGGTTTTTGTCTGTGTCATTTCTGGTCATTTGAAAGCTTCATTTGACTTTACCATCTTTAGATGACTTGAATTTCTCCCACATTTTACAAAGCCAAAACCTGAATTCATGCCATTCACAGGATTTTGTGTGCTTTTAGTTCAAACTAAAAGCTGGAATCACTGCATAAATTAGAACATTTTTAGAGAGACTTAAAGTATTCCCTTTGCTCTTTAATCTTAATTATGTGGAAACATCTTCATCTTTTGAGGTCAAGATGAAAATGCACTGCATTGTCACTTACTCATTATGTGTGACGGATTGTATCACGTTTGAGATGTCTTTTGACTGCAAATGAAGATTTTTTTAAGTGTACTGATTTACATACTTGAATCCCATTTACAACTACCGTGAAGTCACCATTAGTGAACATTTTACATTTGCATTATTCCTTTTTGCAGCTTTCAAGTTCTGCCTGCAGTACACGCGGAAAGCGGAGTTCCGCAAGCTCTGCGATAACCTGCGGATGCACCTGGGGCAAATCCAGCGGCACCACAACCAAAGCACAGCCATCAACCTCAACAACCCTGACAGCCAGTCCATGCACCTGGAGACCAGGCTGGTGCAGCTGGACAGTGCTATCAGCATGGAGCTGTGGCAGGTATGCAGCAGGGCTCCCCATCACGCTTGGTCTGCAGCCTTTCCAGAATTTTCTCCACACTGTTCATGTCTCATGGTACATGCAGCAAGGTGAAGAGAGCATAAGAGCTACAGAATAAAAGTTTTAATGTCTAGAATATTGAATGCTTAGTCTGGTGTTCCTGCACAGCATTTCAAACCAAGCTTTGATGGTAGAACTTCGAGAGATTTTTTGTTTGGCTCCCCCCCAACCTTGGTTTGTAGCTTGAAAATCAGAATGAAACAAGTTTTCAAAAATACCAACTTCTAAGCAGATAATTAAAGTGAGTATGTCCAAATAATTTATTAAGAAAGTATTTAATTCCATGTAGCTGACAAAACTGAAGATCATAGCTTTCAGTAGTATTAAATATTTTATAGTCTTAAAACCTTTTTGAATGTACATTTTTCCTTTTTTGGGATGTTACAAAAGACTTCCTAACAGTGTTGTGTTTGGTTGTTTTGGGGTTTTTAGGAAGCTTTCAAAGCAGTGGAAGATATTCATGGACTATTTGCATTGTCTAAGAAACCGCCCAAACCACAGCTGATGGCAAATTACTACCACAAAGTTTCAACTGTCTTCTGGAAATCAGGAAATGCTCTTTTTCACGCATCCACCCTTCACCGCCTTTATCACTTATCAAGAGAAATGCGAAAGAATCTCACACAAGAGGAGATGCAGAGGTGGGGAAAGATACTTGCTGTGATCTTAGAATCTGTTTTTAACCCCCTCGGTTCAAAAATAAACTAAATTGTACCCCAAAAGAAGCAGATGACATGTATGGCTATGAGCAGCTCTGCCTAAATTGGCCAGTACTAATTGCCTCAAAAGAAATCTAGAGCAAGGAGGATGTTTTACAAAGCTGCAGTGTAAGTATTGTGAACATTAGCATCACCTTAGTTAAGCTTCCTTCTCTTTACTGAGAGGATATTCAAGTCAATAAATATCCGGGTGTTTGGGTTTTTTTCTGTTTTGAGTGGTGGTATTTTCTTCACAAGATTTCACAGTTTCCTCTCATGCTGTAGTTGGTGTCTCCTCTGTTATTCTGGTGTTTGTACACAGTTTTGCATCATGGATGCTCCTCATTCCTCTCAAACTGGCACATAGATGAGCAGGAGTTAGTAAGTGTTCTCTTGTGCTTCTGCTTTGTCACCAGGATGTCCACTCGAGTCCTTTTGGCCACGCTGTCCATTCCAATAACTCCAGAGAGAACTGATATTGCTCGTCTCCTGGATATGGATGGAATCATCGTGGAGAAGCAGCGGCGCCTGGCCACCCTGCTGGGGCTGCAGGCCCCCCCGACACGGGCCAGCCTCATCAATGACATGGTGGGTACTGGGGTTCAGGTCAGCAGCTTCACAGAGCTGAGGCCTGTTCCTTCTAGAGCACTCTGCTTAGCTGTGGGAAAGCAAATTTAAAGCTAAAACAGCTGTGTGGTTAATTGGAACTTAATTGCAGATTCACAAGGAATGTTTGGAAATGGCAGTGATAATGAATGCTTGTGTGCAATTCAGTGTAGTCTTTTATGTCACCCAAGCAGCAAATATTGATTTGAAACACTGAGGGGTTTGAAACATGTTGTGACCTAGAACTTTGGGGTTTTTTTCTGACTCTGAAGTATGTAATTAACTGAACCAAGTGCTTATTTTTCTGTTTTAAATGTGTTTTGGATAAGCACAGGCCAGATGTCAAATGTTGGACCATATGGATCTAAGTGATTATGAAAACTTCCTTGTGTTTAATTTGAAGGGATGTTAGATTTATCTATCCTCAGACCTCCCCCAATGCTCATAAACAAATTAGACACTAAGTAATGGGTATTTTCAGAGAATGTTTGAATTTTTTGCAGTCGTTAGCACTCATATGTAAGATTTAGGTTCAAAGCTTATTTAATCATTTGAGTTAATTCTTCTTGCAGTTCCTCTCTAGTCTGCCTCAAACCCACAACTTAAGGCTTCAGAAATTTAATAATGAACAGAGATGTGTGGTTTTAGTTTGGATGTGGGCCTTTGTTTGTGTAGTAGGCTTGTGTCTTAGAAATGGCTGAGGATGGTACTCTAGTCTGTTTAGATTGGTTTTTGTCTACTTTTCAATTTTTAACTACATTTAAGTGATGTAGTGTAGAACTACTGTTACTGCAGTTAAGAATGTAATGGAAAAAACCCCTAGTTTCCTGTATTAAAAACCACATCTGTTGCCTGTTTAACTTGTTGAATATGAAATTCTTAAAGCATTAATTATTGGTTAATACTGTATTTATGTTGAGATCTTTGGATTTTCTTTGTTGACTGTAGGTCAGGTTCAATGTAGTGCAATATGTTGTCCCAGAAGTGAAAGAACTTTACAATTGGCTTGAAGTAGACTTTCACCCGCTAAAGTTGAGTGCCCGTGTCAGCAAGGTAAGTTTTTTGTAGCTCTGTGTGTGTAGTAATTGGTCTTGACTAACAGTCTGTTATTTCAATATTGATTTGTGGTAAATATCAACCAGCTTTTTTCTATTGCCTGATTTTTCAATAATAGCCTTGATTTGGTGAAGTTCCATCACCATGATATGTGCATGACATCTGAGAGTAAGCCAGGTTACTGAAATAGAATGAAAATGCACTCAGGTCTTTTGGGTGCTATTCAGAGGGCTCCATAAAGGTGCAGAGTTTTGGGAATGTGTTAGAAGGTTTTGTTGGTGGAGATAATACTGAGTTAATTTTGTTTAAAGTGCAAAATAAGAAGACTGTGTGCACACGTGGGCATATGCTGGCAAGTGGGTTGTATGCTAAGTGGAAGGATGAGCCAATGATTGCTTTTACTATTAAAAGGTAGAGTGTTGGGAGGTAGAATAATGTGAGAGCTGTTGATTAAGTTAGTGTAAATTCTGCAGTTGATGAAGCACATCATGTTCTTTTTCTTTGATAGTGGGAACAAAGATACTTGAGGTGCTAAAAAGAACTTGAAGGTAAATTAGCAGTGTGGTAAATGTTGCCAGTACTGTCAGTCGCCTTCATACAAAAACTGTCAGCTCTCCTTTGTAACTAAGTGTTCTGATCAAAGGATGCACTTCAGTAAAACAGTATCTGGACAGAAGTGCTCTTGTTTTAAGAGTGTAAACCAGAAATGTAACATTAATGGTGAAGTTTGTACAGGTCAATGCAGATAGAGTAACTTTTCAGACTTTTGATAGGTTCTGAACTGGGTGAAGGACCAAGCTGAAAAGGAACCTGAGCTGCAGCTGTACATTCCTCACCTGCAAAACAACACCATCCTTCGCCTTCTGCAGCAGGTATGAGTAAAGATAATGCATGTTCCTAAGTATACGAGAATTTGAATATGCTTTGGGGGAAGATTATGTTGAAACTTTAATGCTGAATTTTTTTTTTTTCTGTCAAATAGAAGAATGTTTGATTTTCAAATACATTTCTTTAATATATTGCCTATAACTTCAGTTTGTGCATCATTTAAATACAGCTGTAGTAGCTGTACTTAATAGTGGGGTACAGTGGTGTAGTCTCTTCTCTAGATTTTCTTCATTACTTCTCTTTGGAGTAACATCAGGGAGGGAAGTATTTCACTTTGGTTTTTAGTTTATTTTTTAAAAATTGTATTTGTATCTAAGATTTTTTTATAAAATGCACATTTCATTGACCTGCTTTCTTTACTAGTGATGAGCAGTGTTATTTCTGGTGTGCTAAAGAAACAGTTGAAGGCTAATTAGCAGCATAGCTGGATGTAGTTACTGCTGCCAGTCTCCTTCATACAAAGTACCCATTCAGGAATGGGGTTTAATCTGAAGACAGTACAGAAATAGAATCCTCAAACAGTATTTGCAACTGCATTCATATGTATACATTCATTTGCTGACAATTTAGCGAGTTAACTTTAAGGCCTCTACAACAACTTCTACTCTGATTTCTTTTTATTGAGGAAAAATACTGTGGAAAAAAATACCTGATGTTTCTGTTTGCATTCAGGTGGCCCAGATTTATCAAAGCATTGAGTTTGCTCGTCTGTGCACCCTGGTTCCTTTTGTGGATGCTTTCCAGCTGGAGCGCTGTATCGTGGATGCAGCCAGGCATTGTGACTTACAGGTGAGGGCTGTAGTGAGACTTTGTGTCGTGTCTGGGTTCATGTGTATTGCATGTGATGAAAAGGAGCTGGTTCACAATGTGGAGGAAGAGACAGGAGTGATTTGTCTTGTAGTGCTCATTTCATTGAATCCTTGAAAGTTCAGCCTCTTCCAGTGATTTTGTTTTCATTGTTGTTTGGGTTGTTTTTTTCCCTAAACCATAGAAATAAAACAAACCTTCATTGACAGTGCTATTTTTCTTCTACTAATTTAGCATTTCTCATGGAGTGGTACAGCAAAATTTTTTTTCAAGTAATTTCTGCTTAGAGCCTCTGTTGACTCATGGTGGTCATAGGCAGAGCAACAGAGAAATTGTTCAATAAAAAATACAATCCTTTTTCTTCCTTTTTTTCTGTCTTTGCAAAGGTTCGCCTTGATCACACAACCCGGACACTGAGTTTTGGTTCAGATTTGAATTACTGTACTAGAGAGGATGCTCCACTGGGCCCTCAGCTGCAGAGCATGCCTTCTGAGCAGATCAGAAACCAGCTGACTGCCATGTCCTCAGCTCTGGCTAAGGCTCTTGCAGTCATTAAGCCTCCTCACTTAATGGTAAGTCGTTTAAAGTCTTAGGAGAGTGTTGACAAAGCTTATATTTTAATGAATGTGTTTTCTCAGATTAGATGTACATTTTACTTTCTTTTTTCAGCTTAGTGGTAATCAGTTTTTTGTGCTTTTAAAGAAGTCATTCTTAAAAGTGCTCAGCTAATTAGTTTCTGGTCATAAACAAAATATGGCAAAATGTACACAAGAGGTGTGAGTTTAAAGTTGCTAGTCTTGCAAATAACCAGGTTAGGTTATAACAAATAATAACTGTTCCATATGAGCCTACAGAACTAGGATGTATTTAAAGTTTTGTATGCATTTTTGAAAATCCAAGATGCTGCTTCATTTATTCTTCCTGGAAAAACTGCTGTTGTGAAAAAGCTGGAATGCAGCTTTATAGACCAAAACATCCCACAGCTCAACCTGTCTTTGGTCTTTGTCACTTCTTTTCCTCCTCCCTGGCACTCTTGGCTTCAAGGTCAGACTCACATTTCAGGTTTTCCAGAGCTCTGTAGCAACAAGGTGTAAATCAGTCTCAGATTTCCAGCATGCTTTGGTCGTGGCAAGTTAAACCTTCGCTTCTTTTGCTAGAGCAGTGGTAATTTTTTCATTTGTTTTAGGTTTATGAAAGATTTCATAGGTAACACATCAGATATTTGTTCCATAGGCAAAAAGGCTGATAGCAACATGTCCATGTTAGATTCTCTGCAGATTGAAATACCAAATATTAAGTAATATTCTTGTACTTAATATTAAGTAATAGTCTTATACTTAATATTGAGTAATATTCTTAAAATCTAAATGCAGAAAGTAGAAGTGTATCATGACATTCAGTGCTCACTTCCTTATGTTGGCTTGAACACATTAGTGGTTTCATAGTATTTAAGATAAAAATATTTCTATATAGGTTTTCCCTTTAAAAGATTTGATTTGTGATTGGTATTAAATTGGTATCAGATTGTAATTTTGAAAGAAAAAAAAGAAAAGACATGCTTTAACTATACATCCATGGATAGAAGTGGCAGTTAGTCTTGCACTTGACATGTTAGTATAGTTAGTAGCTGAATAAATCCTCCTCATTTAACTCATTAGTGGTCATTACACTTGTAAAATTGGAGAACAGTAAAGGCTAATATCAATCTGTGTGGTTAGAGAAGCTACAGAACAAGTTGATATCCTTTTTTCCTTCACTATTCAGGTCAAAACCTTCCACTTTTGTCAGGTTCTTAAAAGCTTTTAATTTGTCACATTTCTAATAATTCACAAAACCATTAAATTTGTCTAAAGCTTTGTACTCTGGTGTTTCTGGCACCTCCATTTAGCTTTCAATGTGTGCAGATCTGCAGCAAAGCATGGATGTTTCAGTGTTTTTGCTGAATGCCCTAGAAGTGACAGGTTACTAAAAATATCCCTGAGGGTGCTCACATTTCAGGAGTAGCCTGGCTGGGGGAGTGTGGGGAGCTGATTTGGGCTGCAGTGTTTGGCTGGACTCATGGAAATGGGCAGCTCACTGAGCTGGCACAGTGACACCTCCTCGTGTGTACAGCATGAATGTCAACAAAGAACTGTGGGGGTGCTCTGGGCAATGCTGGGGGGTGGGAAGGCTGCTTATAGAGCAGTCTGTGTTCTAGTGTCTAGAAGCCTAGTGTTTTTTGTAAGTCATGAAAATGCTTTTAAATACATTTAAGTTGTTGACTTATTTTTTAATCATCTCACCAATAGTGTTTTGTATTAATTAGGATACATTTTTCTTCTATTAGTGTGTTTGGAAAATAACAAAATTTAAAAGAATGACTTTGGTGAAATACAGTACATGTGGTGATATGCTTGCAAACACATGCAGAGACAAACAAGATTGGCCCACACACCCATTGCAGTTAAAGATTTCAGTATCAATTACATCTGGGACTACAATATTTTTGGACAGAAGAAGTCAAACTGTCATACCCAAGCCATGTTGCACAATATTGTCTTTTACAGACAACTTTCTCCATGTGCACATGATTCTGGGCAGTTGGTACTGCCTGGGATGCCACTTGGATGAGTGATTAGATTTGCCACTACAGCTGTACTTCCATTCAGTTGGCAGGTTTGGAGAATAGAATTAACTCTGTGTTTTCCATGAGAAGCATTTGCTTTGCTTACTGCCTTTTTGAAGAGGAACTGTTTACATCATTTTATTGTTCTCAATTTAAATCCAGCAAGAGAAGGAAGAACAGCATCAGCTGGCAGTCACTGCCTTCCTAAAAAATTCCAGGAAGGAGCATCAGCGTATCCTCGCGCGCCGTCAAACCATAGAGGAGAGAAAGGAGCGCCTGGAAAGCTTGAACATCCAGCGTGAAAAGGAGGAGCTGGAGCAGCGGGAAGCAGAACTGCAGAAAGTGCGGAAAGCTGAGGAGGAGAGGCTGCGCCAGGAGGCAAAGGAGAGGGAGAAGGAGAGGATCCTGCAGGAGCATGAGCAGATCAAAAAGAAAACTGTTCGGGAGCGCTTGGAGCAGATTAAGAAGACTGAACTGGGAGCCAAAGCATTTAAAGATATTGATATTGAGGTAGGGGATTTATTGTTGCGGTGGGGAGTTATTTTGTTATTTCAGTGTTACATTGCTGGGCTGCCTGAGTTTCATAGGTTTGTACTGCAACTGGTCTTACAGTCTCTCTTAAAAATGAGACAAGTAAATTTTAGTTTTGGGTTTGGATGGGACCTTTTTTACCTGGGGGAATAAAGACCACCTTTTGTGGGAGTTTTTTCTCCTTTTTGTATTGATAACTTTACTTGGTTGTAGGATCTTGAAGAATTGGATCCTGACTTTATTATGGCTAAACAAGTGGAACAGCTGGAAAAAGAAAAGAAGGAACTTCAGGAACGACTGAAGAATCAGGAGAAAAAGGTACAAAGTAGGAAGGGTAAAAATGTCCATACAGTTTTTTAAATGAACGTGATCTGTGTTGATACGTGTGTGCATACACATATATATAACACTGATGTTGGAAATGTTGAAACTCAAGAAAGGTAAATGTCTTATATACCAATTGGGTCTCTGGTTTCGGTGCAAACATCTGTTCTAATTAATGGAGTTGATTTGAAAAAGGACCCTTAAGCTGGATGTGAATTCAGTCTTAGCTGGGAAGACTTGTAATTAAAAAATGTTCAGAACAGGTTAAATGTTCAGAGAAGGAGAGACCAATACAGAGAAGTGAAATTAATTAATAGTGTTAGTCCTCACTGAACGAGAGGAAACTCCTCTGCTAGAGCCGTCCTGGATGGCAGAAAAGGATCTCTCTGAAACGTGGGTGGCTATACAAGTGTGAGAAATGTGTCATAATAAATGGAAACAGGTGACCTGGGCAAGGTGGAACTCTGCCAGGGCTTCCTGCTGTATTCAGGAATGAAACAGGGCTTCTGTGGTACAGCTGGTGACTCGGGTCACTTAAAACTGGTTTGAAGGAAAATGGCAGGTAGAAAGTGGCAGGTTAGTTAAAAAGGTTCCAGTGAGGATCTTGGACACTGCAGGCTTGTAAAGCTGTTGCTTACCCTGGACAGAGGAGCAGAAAGTACATTAATAGTAGAATTAGTAGTCACTTGAGTGAATACGATCTACCTGGAAAAGTCAGCACAGCTTCTATAAAAGGAATGCTAGCAAAGGGCTTCCTCTTAGAGATCTCTGAAGCTGTCACAGCAAAAGTATGACTAAGGCTGATCTCATGGGTGCAACTAAGTTGGATTTCAAAAAAAGCTTTTTCCAAAGCTCTTCACAAAAAACCCCAACTTAATAGTGTGACAAAAGGAAGTCTTTGAATTATGTTCTGGTTAGATAGATTTAAAACTTCATATAGGGAAAGCTGGGGAAAGAATCCCTCAGTTTTTGGCTTTGCGTATTATATGATGGGCTTCAAACTTAACATTCTTGCCAGCAGTGAGAACTTGGTTCCTCTGCATTTTGAGCACTGTCTGCAGTTCTGGTCTCTTTATGTCTAAAAGGATGTGGCTGCACTGGAAGTTTGATAGGACGCCAACAAGAATTATCATTGATGCAGATTGGCTTCTGTGGGGGAAATGTCTTTGTAAAACAGTACCCCTCTGTCAGACTTCCAGAGAGAGGATGTGGTGCCAGTCTGTAAGAGTGTACCTGTTGAAAGAGCTGATGGTGGGAGCAGCTGTTCTTGCACTGCCTGCAAGGGGTAGTGGAGTGAGAAGCATCAAATGAAGCCAGCAGGAGCCATGTTCAGAGCTGTTTGTAGGTAGAAGTTGGATCTTCATGCTGTGAGCCACAGACATGCAGGAGTTCTTTCCAAAGTACATTGTTGTATATGAAAAGCTTTGAGCTCAGGACAAGAGAGGAAATCCACTGTTTAAAATATAAAAAATACTTTCAACACAGAAAATGCTGGGAGCTGAACATGGACGATGCTGAGAGAGAATTATGATGCGCCTGTCTCCATTCCTGGATCCTTGCCTGGGAGTACACTTAGTTAGTTGCCGGTGGTAGAGGCATGTTCTTGGTTAGGTTGACCTTAGATGGTCCAGTGTGTTTGTTGCTATTTTGCCATAATATATCAGCTATGTTGGAGAAGTCTCCAGAAATCAGGGGTTTATGTGTGCATTATGTCACACTAAAGATGTGTTACCTTTACTCAGATTGACTACTTTGAAAGAGCGAAGCGCTTGGAAGAAATTCCTTTAATAAAGACTGCTTATGAGGAGCAAAGAGTGCATGATATGGAGCTGTGGGAGCAACAGGAAGAAGAAAGGGTAAGAATTTTTTGTTCAGTTGATAAAGTGCATTAGCAATGTATGAAAAATAGTGGGGTTTGCACTGTTTGTTTTCTTTTTCCCAGCTCTTTCCAAAAAAGAAAGAAATATTGAAATCTTTACACAAATTCAGATTGTTAGCTTTGTGCTTTCACTGTTTTAGTGGACAGCAATTTCTTCTGTCTTTGCTCTGAAAGGGGAAGTGAAAATTTTTCCTTCTAGTGGCTGGGGTAGATTGAATCCAGATGTATAGTGAAGTTATACTTAGTTTATTTTCTGTTTTCAGATCACCACCCTGCAGCTGGAGCGTGAGAAAGCCCTTGAGCACAAGAGCAGACTCTCCAGGATGCTGGAGGATAGAGATTTATTTGAAGCCAGGCTCAAGGCATCACGACGAACAGTTTATGAGGTACATGAGATGTGGCATTGCTTACAAAGTTACCCCTAAAGTGAGGAACTAAAACTGATTCTTCATGAAACTAGAAACAAATTAGTATGTAAAATGGTCCAGAACTGTGGAATTGCTTATTTCTGCTTTGGCTTTTAAATTAAATTTCGTGCACCTGTTCCTAGGTAGTATCGCTTCAAATTTTTGACAGTTTCTGGAATAGGTAATATGGAAAATAAAAGAGGGGGTAAATTGTTTATTTCAGTACAGCTGTTAATAAGGGATCACTGGGTGTCATATAGGCAGACAGCTGTATCTGCCTGTTTATAGCTTTGAGTATTGGGCTATGTTGCAGTAAAAACTAGCTTTACCAAAAAAAGGCAGAATAAATGTACATTAATATAATTTAGTAACTGCATATGATTCTTTGCAATAATAGGGATAATTTTGGATGATATATTTTAGGTACAGATAAATTATTATTTAGGTCATTCCTTTCTGAAAAAGCAGATAAAGGACTAATACTATACATGATTATCTGGTTGTGTCTTTCTTCTACACTAGAGTATATTCACTTATACAAAATCAGTTACAGAAGAGGTTGACATGGCAAACAGGACGTTCTTCAGCAGAGCAAAATTATTATGTTGCAGTTGTTTTGAATTTCTGTGCAGCTTTATTTAACAACTGTGTAACTGCCTAGCTCTCAGACATTACAGTATTGTGTTCTGAGGTGTCTTGTTGGTATTTCAGGATAAGCTCAAGCAGTTCCAGGAGCGGTTGGCAGAGGAGAGGCGGAACCGTCTGGAGGAACGCAAGAAGCAGCGCAAAGAGGAGAGACGCATCACTTACTACAGGGAGAAGGAGGAGGAGGAGCAAAGGCTACGGGAGGAGCAGCTGCTTAAAGGTGTGATTGAGAATGTGACTTTCATCCTTTCTATCCTTGAGCCTTCCCATTTTGTAACACAGCTAGTGTCTGGTTTTCCTGTTTCATGAGTTTAGAGGAAGTCTTTTCCACTTCCAGTAGTCACACCTTCCTTGCTTACTTGTGCAGCACAGACAGGAAGGTAAAGCTTTGTAGCTCCTAGACATGAGTGAAGGAGGAGATGAAGTAAGAGAGGCTGATGAAAAAGTGAGTCCTTGATTTTAGCCTATAGTTGGAGTTCTGGCCACTTGTTTGTGCACATCTTAAAGAGAAAAGAGCATTGGTGTCCGATCAAGAACTCCAAAATTGTAAATGACTCACACATCTTTCCTTGTGAATTGTTGTGTCTGATAGCCCTAATACCCTGTTTCAGGGCTTTAGAGGAGAAGAGGTGGTTGACAAACTGCAAGATGAATTTCTGCCCTATTTGTCAATTGGAGGTTGAAGATTTTAAGTATCAGAGTTCATCATAATGCAGTATTTAAAAAACAAACAACAACTGAAGCGGTCATGAATATCAAATTTCTGACACTCTTAGCTGATTTTTTTGTTCGATATTTTCTAAGGGAGGGATCCTCTACTATGTTTGAGGTAGTTACTGATATTTTAGTTGCTAAAATTTAGTTGCTAGTTATGTATGTACATTGAATTAACGTAAAGATATTGGAACTTCTTCTTTCTTGCTAGTTGTTCAAGATGTCTCATAAATTGATGTATCAGGGGTCCTTTTCCTATTGCTTTTGAGTTAGGCGACTTGCAGAAAACAGATTCTGTGGTTAGCTAAACACATCATACGAAATGCTTGTATTTTTAAGTGTTTATTTTTTATAGAGTCCAAGGGGAGAGATTGTGTTGTAGAACCCTTCTGTGGATGCAGGAAAGTAATGGAATTTGTGTTGGTAACAAATTCTCTGTGTGTTTCCAAATGTGCAGAGCGTGAGGAGAAGGAGCGCATCGAGCGCGAGAAGCGCGAGCAGGAGCAGCGGGAGTACCAGGAGCGAGTCAAGAAACTGGAGGAGCTGGAGAAGAAAAAACGTCAGAGAGAAATGGAGATAGAGGAAAGAGAGCGCCGCCGAGAGGAAGAGAGGAGAGGGCTGGATGACCCATTTTCAAGGAAGGTGGGTAATTCCTGCAGGTTTGTTTCTTTCTGACTGTCCCTTCTTCAGTAGTTTATTTGAAATAAGGTGTTAGCATTGCAAAATCATAGGTTAGTTTATTTATTTATTAAGTTAGAATGTGAGTGGCTAAATTAATAACTAAATTACTGTCACTTAGTTTCAGCTCACTATCAGCATCTGGAATCTCTAGTTTAGCAATAAAGTAAAGAAACTCCCTGGAAGCTAAGATTGCCAAGCTGTTTAAAAACTACATTAATAAAGACTAAAATGAATATTGGGCAAAATTTTCTTTAATACAAAAAGAAGGAAAACTATTGGAAGCAAGTGCAGTGACTCATACAAAAGTCAGAAATTCAAGTGGATATTGAAAGAAAATCCCCCCAGATTAAACATAAAAGCATAGTTTTGTATTTTATAAGAAATATGCAATAACATAAAACCAAGATGTGTGTGTGCAACTTTCTCTGTACAAATATAAGTTGGGTTGGGAGAACTCACTACCCCAACCCAACAGGAAGTAAAACAACAAAAGTTACTTGGAAATACTTAATGCTTTTAAAGAATGTAACTAAGTACCATAAGCCTTTTACACTCCCACTTTTTCAGAACTTTCAAGAGAACTGGTTTTCAATTTCATTCCCCACAGCCTTTCTCTTTGTTTAATACATATTTCATTGAGGAACTATGAAGATAAGTTATCAGATTGTATAAATTGTTTTGACAGTCTGTCAGGTAAATAATCATGATGGGTATTTTTCACATAAGAGGTCTCCTATCTGTGGGCACTTGATTCTACGGGAAAGCTGGCTCAGGTTCTGAGAGAGATAGCTGTACCACTCCAGAAATTCCATCTGCGGTTTTGGGATTCTTTGCTCACCGTTGTTATTTGGGGTCATTTCTAAAGCATTTAAGGAGACAGAGTAGTGAATATGCAAGATCTTGGTTAACCCATAATGAAAAATACAAACACTTTTCAAAGAGGGGTTTAAAACTGGAATATTCTTCTTATAAACAGGTTGTGTGATTATGTGAAATCAGGTATTTTGGATGGTTTAGCTAACTGGTTTCTTGTGGTAGAATTAAGGCGTAAAAATCTGTTTAAATGGTTTGTCTGGCAATGGAGAGAGACATTTTAACTTTATTTTTGAAAAATACAGATTTGTCATTGCTCTGCCCTGCAACCCCTGTGAATCACTAATATCTCACCTCTTCTGAGCACTGAGGTATTGGGAACAAAATTGTCCTTACCACAGAGAGCTTTCAGTGTATTCAGTTACATTTCCTGATGAGATCAGAAAGCACAGAAGCAAATAATTACTTGAGTTCATTCCTGTTGTTATAAGCCCCCAGGAAAAGTGAAACTGTTAGAACATCTCTTTTGTGTCAGGTAGTGGCTATGGCTGACTGTAGCTGTTCAATTGTTCATACACTTCTCATAAACTTTTTAGTGTATTTGCATATATCCTACCCTGCAGGTAAAGTCTGTGGCACAAGGGGAACCATGTTTTTGTTTGAACTGCAGCAGAAACAATAAAATCAGTTAAAACCAGACTTTAGCTACTCAGACTCCTGATAGTTCTGTGTTCTGCAGTGTGACAAGTGAGTTTTTAGTGACATAACATGCTCAAGAGTGAATTATATGTTGAAAATCTTTGTTTTAAACATTTAAAGAGAATGCTCCTAATTTCTTTTGACATGCAGGAATCTCGTTGGGGTGACAGGGAGTCGGAAAGCTCCTGGAGAAGAGGAGGTGAGCCGGAATCTGAATGGCGTCGAGCACCAGTGGAGAGGTAATCAGGGGTTACCAAGCCCCAGTTACATTGGGATCAAAGTATGGAGGCTCCCATTTTGATGCTACTGCTAAAGCTGCACTAACTGACTAATATCTCATGCCTCTACATCTCTGAAAGTTACCTTCTATTAAAATGTTGCTTTGTAAGGATCTTGGAATGAGAGAGAGGTTTTGTCTTGGAGCCATGCTCAGATAACATTCCTGTTTTATTTGGCTTAGATATGTGAAGGCAAGCAGACACCTTCTGTGTGTGATAAACAACTTGCTTCCTTGGATTCCTTTTTAAATTAACAACTTTTCTCCCACTCAAACATTGGTGTCAGCTCTGTAAATACAGAATGGAGAAGGATGACAAGCAAGTACAGTGTTCCTGGATGATGAAATTCTGAGATTTTCCATTTAGAAAACTGATAATAACTAAATGCAAGTCCCAGAGTAAGTCAAAGAGCAGAAAACACGTGCCATTAATGAAACAAAGTTCTGAAGAGCTGTATTGAACAGGGAGGGATAGATTTCTGAAGGAAGAATATTATGAATGTACTTACAACTTTAAAAATAAAAAAAATCCACACTTGTTTACATTTATTTTGGATATGTTCACTAATAATGAAAACTGTTTATATATAGTTGTAGAAGACAAGATTTTTAACATTTGTCTGTTTTTCTGCTTCACATCAGGATGAGCTGTAGCTAAAAATATTTCTGATGGTGCACACTTAGTTGCTCTTAAAAGCCTGTGCTGATGGAGATAACACTGCTGATTCCAATTGGCAGTATATTTTATTGCTTAATTAGCCTTGCAGGTAGATAGATTTTTGTAAATGTCTAATCCTAATTTCCAGTACAGCAATTTAAATCCATTACTGCTTACTCTGACTCCAGTGGAAGAAAGTGTATTGACTCTTTCTCTCTCTAGTAATCTCTTAAAATGTTTTAGAAGGGCATGATCTCTATAAACAAAATAGAATTCCATCTTTCCTTAAAAGCTGTGTTGTCATTCTTGGTAGTGATCCACTTTGTCATGAACTGCAGAATCCAACAATTGCATGACACTGCTGAGTGTAGCCTTTCACTACACATATATTGCAGAAGCTGTGGTGCCCCATCCCTGGAAATGTTCCAGGCCAGGCTGGACAGGGCTTGAAGCAGCCTGAGATAGTGGAAGGTGTCCCTACCCATGGCAGGGAGTGGAATGAGATGATCTTCAAGGTCTCTTCCAACCCAAACCATTCTGTGATTTTGTGAAGTGTTTAATGCACTGATTTGTATGCTTCAATGGGTTTTTTTCCTCCACACAGAGTGATGCAGCTTGTCTTAGTAATTTCTCATTCAGCTTTCCTAGAGATGAATTAAAGTAGAGGTAGTTTAAAAGTAATAGCTTAAAATTAGATTTAAAAATCCTAAGACACTGAGACAGTATCTGAATGAATTAAATACTTGTTCATCTGATAAACATTATAACCATTCTTCCACATGTCTTTTATGGTAAAATAATCAGATTTTTCAAAGGGGGAGATTATCCAATTTGAGTCTAAATGGAAATTAACAATCTCCATGTCTTGGTTTTTACCTCACAGATCAATGATAATTGCATTCTCCATTATTCTTCCAAACCCAGGAAATGCACTGCTTGCAATTCCTCAAAATTCTCGAGACTCCTGAGCTGTCACAAACTGTTGTCTCTTTGTTCTCACCTTTTCAAGTCCTACATCTGATGTTTTGTAGCAAGTCATTGCTGACTTTTTGTTTACATTTTAGTAGCATAGTGGACTTCTAAACCTTGAGGTGTTCTTTTTGTTGTATTTTGGTTTGGGTTTTATTTTTTTTAAATCCATGAGATTCAACCCCAGTGTAGCTTCTCTTCTCCTGCCAAGAAGCAGGTACCAGTACATTTCTGTAATGTTCTATTTTTTTAATTTTTTTTTAATTGCTGAGGAAAGTTAATTTCCTAAAATAAATTAATTTGGTGACAAAAACAGGGTTTATGGTCTAAATGTATGTTTAAAGTCTTGCAGACAGCAGACTTAATGGTGTGTAGGGCTGGCATGTGCTTGGAGAGAGGGATACTTAATTGATGGTTGTGGAGCTTTTTAGTATTGACTCTTTGAGACTTAGGTCAAGTTTGCCAGATTAGGCTTGGTGTAGAAGCCAGCCCTCTTCTCTGTGGTGTTGCAGCAGATAACCAACAGGGGACTGTCCAAACTGTAGTTTGAAAGGAGATGATGAAGTGCTGAGTCTTTACTGAAGCTGTAGGGACAGTGACCTGCCTCTTTCCCATAGCAATGAAGGGCATTAAAAGGTGCATTTTGAAACTGCATGCTTCATGTTTGGAGCCACTCACCAAGTGAGTGCAATCAGAAATGGCTTTGAGGGGTTTGATGCTGTTGATGTAAAGCTTTCCTGGATGTCACCTTCTGCTTTTCACTTGTTCCCTGGGGTTTCACAGAGACTGGCGTCGAGGAGATCCAAGAGACGATGAGCGACCGTTCCGCCGCGGGGACGATCTGCCTCGGCGAGGGGATGATCTGCCCAGGCGTGGTCCTGCAGATGACAAGGAGCGTCCTCCAGAATCAGCAGAGGACAGGCCACCTAGACGGGAAGGGGACGAGGACAGGCCTCCGAGGCGAGAAGGGGATGAGGACAGGCCCCCCAGACGTGGCTTGGATGAGGACAGGCCGCCCCGGCGTGGTTTGGATGATGACAGGGGAAGCTGGCGAGCTGCAGATGACGACAGGGGTCCCAGACGTGTCCTGGATGATGACAGGCCCCCCAGACGCGTCTTGGATGATGACAGGCCCCCCAGACGCGTCCTGGATGATGACAGACCACCCAGACGTGTCCTGGATGACGACAGGCCCCCCAGACGCGGCTTGGACGATGACAGAGGCAGCTGGCGCGCGGCAGATGACGACAGAGGACCCCGGCGCGGGCTGGATGACGACCGGCCGCCCCGCCGGGCCCTGGATGAGGACAGGCCCCCCAGGCGTGGGCTGGATGATGACAGGGGCAGCTGGCGGGCTGCAGATGACGACAGGGGGCCCCGGCGCGGGCTGGATGATGACAGAGGGCCCCGGCGCGGGCTGGATGACGACAGGATGGCCCGGCGGGATGAGGACAGGGGACCCTGGCGGAACGCGGACGATGACAGGCTCTCCAGGAGAGACGATGACAGGGGCCCGTGGCGTGGCGGTGAGGACTCAAGGCCGGGTCCATGGAGACCATTTGGTAAACCAGGTAAAGCACAGTAATATAATAATCTTCCCTCCAAAGTGTGTGTGTGTTGTCCTCATAGATAGTTGATGCAACATACTTGATGCCAGAGGTGGGAGAATCAGGTCTGAAAACATCTAGATTAATTTGGCTGATGTGGAGACTACTTAGTGTAGTATAATTCAACCTTTTCATTTGGTTGAATTGCTTATCTGGAAGATACAGTGTGATGGTCACAGACTTAACACTGTGACCATCACACTGGTCTGTGATTGCTTGTCTGGAAGATACAAGTGTGATGGTCACAGACTTAACACTGGTCACTTCCCTGTGTGCAAAAGCAAAGTATACAAGTTGAATGCTTTGCTGGGAGCATTCTCACTAGATTAGCACACCTTGGACTCTTTCCCTACTCCTTCTATGTGTCTGAAGTTAATCTCCTTCTAAAGGAGGATTTTTGATACTTCATTCAAGTGGGTGTAGTTTTGATAAGCTCTTCCTGTGTGTACAGAGATAACGTTTTTAACATTCCCTTTTTGTTTTTAACCCTTACTGAAAGTCCTGCTTAAAGCAGAGCTTTGATTAGATGACCTTCTGAGGTCCCTTAAAATCTGAATTATCCTATTCTTGTATTGTTTATTTCTATTCTTAAGTGTCATTGATGGTGTCTAGAGCTGTTCTGATTCTTTTCAGAACTGTTGATGACATTTGAATGTTAGATATTATTTTGATTTCCTGGTTCTTTTCACTTATGTATTGGCAGGCACCATGTCAGTTTTCGTAGACACTAATTATGTAGTCCAAAGCTTTAGAAAACTTATTATAAATATCAAAACTTGCACTCCAGTTTTTCCTATTTAAAACAAAAGCAGGCTACATAACAAAGAACTCCCATTTGTAAATAACTGAGCAGTGCTGCAGAGTGCACTGTGTTAAGTGGATGGTAACAAAAGTCACATTTTAAAGTAATGCTTTAAAAAGCAATAAGTTCTTTAAAAATCTGCTTCCTTAAAATCTCACTTGTGGATTTTCACAAAGGAATCTGCTGTCTGAGCTACACCCTTTGCTTCTTCTTGTTTTGCACCAGACCCTTGTGGTTTCTGGCTGAAAACTGCAGGGTGCAGCCAGCTCTGCTGGACTGTTGCAGGCAGCCCTGATGTGAGGTGTGCATTACTGGCTTTACATTTAGCAGTTTTTTCTCTGCACAGTATTTTCTCTGAGGCTCCCATGTGCAAACTTCTTACAAACATCTTGAGCTGGATCTTCAGGAGTCAGAACTTGAAGAACCAGTTTCTGTGACGGAAGTAAAGGGTTCTTTGTCTACAAGAGAGATCAGAGGTCAGTCACAAACTCCTTTGACTGTGTTTCTTTCTTACAGGGGGATGGAGAGAACGAGAGAAGGCTCGTGAGGACAGCTGGGGCCCTCCCCGAGACTCCAGACCTTCAGGAGACCGTGAATGGGATCGAGACAAAGACCGGGATGAAAATGAGAAGGAGCGGGAATTTGACAGGGAGAGAGATTTTGATCGAGACGATCGTTTCAGGCGTCCCAGGTCTGACTGCTCTGTTTAAGTACTTCTAGAATGTTTCTGCAAAAAGAAAAAAGGGCCCTGCTGATACAGAAATAACATGGAATTTCTGAGTGAAAGGAACAAGGATTAGTTTGTGTGAAACTAAGCACTTTAGGGCAGCAAATGGATAGGGGCATTTTGGGACCTTTTTGGTTTGTTATTTTTAGGATGATATCTGTTTACAGGAGGAATTCCAAAATGCTTAAAATGCTTTTAAATTTTTCTTTTTAACCTATTATCAAGAGAATTCCATGTTAGGCTCCGTAAAAACAAAACCAATTTTGGAAGTATGTTAAATAGACACCCACTGGGTCTATAAATATCTGTGTTGTGATTTATTACTGCTCCTTTCCATAGCAAAGATAAGCCTCCTAACATTTAATTTTTATGTTTTGCGTGGCCACAGGGATGATGGCGGTTGGAGGAGAGGGCCAGCTGAGGAAACTTCCAGCTGGAGAGATTCAAGTCGTCGTGAGGAGTGGGACAGAGGTGGTCGTGACATGAGAGACCGACGTGGTGATGACAGAGAGCCACCCCTCAGGAGAGGACCCCCCCTGCGATCCGAGCGGGAAGAGCGTAGGTTCCTTCTAGTGTCCTAAAGTCCTTCACCCAGCACAGAGCCTCCTCTTCCTGACACTGCTGGGGAGGGGTCACATGGGAATAGCTTTTATTTTCAGCCTGTGTTTAAACTGCCTTTCCATAAACAAAATAATAAAAAGCACCTTTGATGCTTTTTGGCATAATTGAGAATTCTTCAGGGAATCTTAACTATTTGTAGTTGTGCTGTTTTCTGTCTTAGTAGCATTTCACATCTACAGTAGGAGGGTAACATTTCAAGTATGCATTTCTCATAGGATTGTGTTCTGGGTGCATGTAGTCCTTGTGTTCAGATTATCAAGACAGACATCCCAGAAAGTAATTTCTTAAAACTCTTTTCCTTAAAACCATTAAAATGTGACGGAAATATTTGTGAATGAGGGTTTCACACTATTAATGGTATTAATTTTGATGACAGACCTGTATTAGTTTCATATATTTATTAATCCTTTGCTGTGTTCTAAAAATACAATAACAGCAAATCCATTTAGCCTGGAGGGACCACCACATCTTCCAATTCTGGCATTCTTACCTTCAGAATCTCACTTTGTCTCTGCCCCAAATGTGGTTGTTCCTGCACTTGGAAGCAGGCTGGAACAGAACATGGGATCAGATACAGGAGTGCTGCTGACAGAAAGGCAGAGTGTTCTCAGTGTGGAGATTTTTTTTTTTTTAATGTATCAGGAAGTTTTGGGATTTGACTTCTTGGCATCTGCCACAGTTTTGTTCACACACAGCTGGGGCAGAACTCTTAGCATCCTTTTGGTGGAAATGAACAGTTTTTCATACAGTAAAGGGTGGTGGATGCTGCTACCAGTGGAGTCATGTAATTCAGTACCATTTTACCTCTGATTCCAGCAGGCTGAAGAGCAATTTCCTCTCTTTTACTAACAGTGAACATTTTCCACAAATGCTTTTAAGTCAGGATTTTTGTTTTCAGGGTTCAGTCATTTCTAAGGAGACACTTTTGTGATTTTAATTCTGCTAATACAAGAATATGTTTTTGCACCATAAAACCATGTACATCAGTGGAACATTGTTACTGCAGTTACTGTGTTTTAAAGATGACACTGGGCTTGCTTACCACAATCCCAAACCCGAGAGGAGTTCTGAGTAGTTCTGTTAGTTTCCTATAAAATCAAAACATGTATTTGGCCGTTGTCATCATATTCCCTGTTGGCAGGGCTGAGGATCAGTAAATCCCACTGCCAGGGTCAGGGCTGTTTGTTGGAACTCTCGCAGGCTGCTGGTGGAGCATGACTGAGTTGTTTTTCTTTCTTCCTGCGCCGTAGCGAGCTCGTGGCGACGCGCTGACGACAGGAGGGAAGAGCGCGGGGAGGAACGGGAACCGGCGCGGAGGTCAGGCCCTGCTCCTGCTGCTCCTCCAGCTTCTGCTCCCCCAGCAGCATCCAAAGAGCGGGAAAGGGACGGGGAGAAGGAGAAAGGATCCTGGAAAACAGAGAAGGAGCGTGAGCCCGCACGCCGCACTAAAAACGAGACAGATGAAGAAGGGTGGACCACTGTACGACGTTAAGTGGGAATCACAGAGTTTAACCGATGTTTTAGCTTTGATTTGATCGAATCCACAGATTATATTTGTGCTTATAAACATTCTGAATTGGAATTCTTTAACCAATGTTTTGAGGTAACATGAAAGCATGAATTACTTACTCATATAGATTGATCATGCACAAAACTCACAGCAGAAGGTTGGAAATTGAATGCCAGTTTTTGAGATATCAAATGATGCTTATTCCATGGGTCATTTGTTGCTAAAATAAAAAGAAGCAAGCCCAACAGCTGTCTTCAGTACAGCTTCTCTTTCGCACCAAAAACAGGCTGCCCTTTTTATTTTTAGTCTTTCTTAGTTTGGAATGGGGTATTATTGTCACAGGACATGCATTTGAAAACACCTCTGTTCACACAGTGGAATTATTGAAAAAGCAGAGCTAAAAGAATTTACATAATTAGCCAAAAAGTAGAAAAGCCCTCTTTTACGTAGGTATTTTTGAGGGCAGGCAGTTTCTGAGATATTTTATCACTATCTAAATTCAGTAAGTTGTTTAAATTCGAATTGAATACAATAAACATTGTGAATTAGCTACACTGGGATATTTTCTGTAGATTTACTTGAATCCATAATGCCTCTGAGGCCACTTTGCAGTCATTGTTCCAGTAATGTACACACTGCTGCAGTGTACAAATCAAACTTGCAGCTTTTACAATTTGTGTTTTGGTAAGCATATGGCTATGTACTTTCTGTTGCCAATATCACAACTGCTTTTTCCATTACTGGATAATTCATGCCTTTCAAGGATTTATAAATATTGTCATATTTAAAATGTGTGGTTTTGGAGAAATTGTTCAATTTTCCCCTCAATTCTTTGTCTTCAGGGTCAATTCTTTCCCTTTCCAAAAAAGTGATTTGTAGTAATGGCTGTGTTGACTTCTAAGCTGGGGTGCAGTAACAACAAGGAACAATCTGGTCACACTGAAGCCAACGCAGAACTTGCTGCTGTGTGTTTCTTCAATGATAAATAAACAAGTTAAGGAATTAGCTGCTGCAGTGTCTTGACTTTTTGGTGAGTCCTGCACCATGTGTTCATGCAGAACAACTGTTGAACCATCATTTTCTGTTCTCAGACCTGTTCTGTAACACCTGAAGGAGAAGGTGAGAACACCTGGGATAGTTTTTCCCTGAGAAACCTGGAGTGTGAACAGAAGTTGTAATACTCCTCTTGTCCTTTTCCTGCCCTCTTCTGGCTTATCTAGGGCCAGTATTTTCTTGGGGAAAACTTGCTCCCAGGGCTTGATTTTTGTGTCTTTGGATCCTATCTTGTCATTGCTGGTTGAGTCACAGGACTCCTACAGACAAGTAGTGTTTTCCAAGCATAAAAAAAGAATGTATTTTTTGTTCTTTATACAGTCCCAAAAAGGATGGAACTAGAGACCAGCAGCCATCCAGTAATGGTGCTTACTGGATCTGGAGTAGGGGCTGCTGCTGTTCTTCAGCTGTCCTTGCATTTTGTGTCACTGGATGCTGCTAAAGGGGACCCAGGAGCTTGCTCCACTGCTGGCTGTGAAATTCCTGTGGTACTTAGAACTGTGTTTGTCCAGTGTGGTTTTGAAGACCTCCAAGACTGAGGACTGCACAGGTGTTCTGGGAAGCCCCTTCGAATGCTTGACTGGCTCCAGAGTGAAAAATCAGTGTAGCTGCAATGAGTAGGGACATCAGCTAGGTCACATTGCTCAGAGCTTGAATGTTTACAGGGATAGGGCATCCACCCTTTCTCTGGGCAATCTGTGCCAGTGTTTTCCACCCTCATTGTTAAAAAACCTCTTGTATCTAATCTGACTCAACTATCCTCCAGTTTATAACCATTACCCCTTTTTCTATCACAACAAAATCTGACAAAAAATCTGTCCCCATCTTTCTTACAGCCCCCCTTCAAAGGCCACAGTTAGGGCTCTGTGGAACCTTCTGTTCTCCAGGCTAAAAAACCCCAGCTCTCAGGCTTTCCTCACAGGGGAGGTGCTCCAGCTCTGGTCATTTTTGTGGCCCTCAAAAGGTTTGAACCTCTCTCTTTTGGCTTCTGCCCTGTGTGTCTCTGCTCACTGTGTGCTACTGTGGAAAGCTGGAATTTTCCAGGTAACTTCCTAGTAGGAAATGGGTGACTGCTGTGAGGTCTCCCCTAAAACCCTTTTTCCAGGCTGAACAAGCCCTGTCCCCTCAGCCTTTCCTCCCAGGCATGTGCTCCAGCCCCTGGACAATGTGTTGGTCCTCTGCTGAACTCTGAATTGGGGGGAATGGAACCCCAAATAGCACACAGGAAAGATGAGGTGAACTCAGGGGGACACTTCCCTTCTCTAGGCTGGGATCCAGGCCCAAACAGTTCAGTGCCCAGCTCAAGCAGCCTGGGCTCTGCTTTTCCCCTGCCAGGGCCCAGAGCTGTTTGAGCCCAGCCTGCCCCTGCAGGGCTCCTTCCTTGGCTGGGCAGGCCCATGCCCTGCTCCCTGTTGAGTTCAGCAGGCTCCTGTCCATCCCTTTGGCCAGCAGCCCTGTCCCAGGTGTCTGGGCTGGGATCCCACTTCAGTGTCATCCTGTGGCTGCCTCCAGGCCTGGGGGATGCTTCCAGCCCAGCGCCCTGCCCACGGTGCTGAGCCTGGACATTCAGCCAGTTTTTCTGCCCCCTTTGTTATGTGGGCTGCAGCATCCTGAGCTGGGTGCAAGGATGGTGTGTGAGACAGTGCTGAAAGCCTTGTCAAAGCTGAGATGAAAAACATCCACTGCTCCTTCCCTTGTCCACAAAGATGTTTTATTATAGAAGGCAGGTGAGCCAGGCATGGCTTACCCTCAGTAATTCCATTCTGGCTGTTTCCAGCTGACTTCTGCATGTCCCCAAAAAGATGTTCTGGAAGGATTTCCTCTGATTCTCCCAGGAACTGAAGTGATACCATCTGGCCTGTGCTTTCTCAAATGGTCCTTTCAGCCTTTTATCAACGACAGGCACAACATTTGCCTTTCTCCAGCCTTGTAATATGTAAATAGTGATTATACCTTCAGTTGCAGTTTTAATTGTATCCACACAAAGACTCTTTCACACCAGGATGAGTGTTTGTTAGTCATCCCTGCACCAGCAAAAGGTGCTTCCCAGTCTGTGTTATTAATTTGCATTATTTGAGATTGTGGTCATGTTGTCAGTGAGTGTTACATTCTCAAGACTGGGCAGCTTGAGAAGAGGCTGGGGAGATGTGAGCTTTGCACGCATGCCAGTGTGCTTATTTTATTGCTTGATCTGTTAGACACAATACTGGCAGTGATCAAAAACCTCTGCTGACCAAATCCAACAGCTCAAACCTCCATCTCCACCATTAAACACGAACACAAAATTTGGTTACCTGAAAATGTTGCCAAATGAGTTCTGTGTCAGTCTTTGCCTTGTTTGAGTCACATCCTGTTAAACAGCTAAATTTTTCAGTGGACCTTAGAAGAATACAAACTGTCACAGGCTGTATTTAGAAGGCAGAACTTGAGGCTGCTGCTCTTTGAATGGATGCAAATGTTGCTGGATTAAATCTCCAGCAAGGCAGTGTCAGGTATGAAAAGTGCTGTCTCCTTCCTGCTCCAGGAGCAGTCCAGACACTGACCCAGCCCATGGGCAGGACTGAGGGCCATCAGGGTCCTCAGCAGAAGGGGGCTTAATTAGCATTATATTTAAGCTCTCTCTAGAGTTCTTTACCTGTAAAAACTGACATTTTTTAACAAAATCCATATTTATGAGAACTGTCAGGGTGCTGTGGTGTTACTCCTGTCTGGGCACAGCCACAACTGCAGCCCAGGACACGTCATGACTTTGGTGAGCTCAGTGAGGCCAGGAGGACGTTGGGGTGGGCTGGTGGGCAGCCAGGAGGACCTCAGACAGCGAGAGTACTGCAAGGCTTGTCTTGCTGTAAATGAAAGATATCTGTGTCATTTCCCTGTCCTTGGGCTGCTGTCACTGGCAGGAGCTGCTGCATGTAAGCAAGTTTTCCTCCTGTGGCTAAAGGGTACTGCTGAATGGTGCCAGCCTACCAAGGGAAGGCATTAGGTCAGTGAAATGCAAGATCCAAAATGTACCTCTCATTCAGGCACTAGTGCCCATCCCGTGGGTTACTGCAGCACTGCAAGAAGTAGGCACTCAAGTGGTGTAACAAAAACACCCAATTCTTCCCTTTTTTGCCATGGCAGGATCAGCTGCAGCTGATGATGCTCTTTGTCTGGTCCTCCTCTTAAATAAATTTAATGCATTTAATTACAGTAGAATGGAGATTCTACAAACTATTCCACTGCAGTTTGGTAATCAAACCCTCCCCTTGCTGCACTTTAAGTTCTGTTAGCCCTTTCTCTCTTGGGCAGGAGGCTTTGCTAAGCCTTGTTCCATTTTTAGTAATCACTTGTTTTGTACAGAAAACAGGCATTTTAGAATTGTATCTTCCTCCCCATGCAACTCTTAGCAACTCATCTCCAGTAAAAATCAATCTATACATCTGGTGGGTCAAACTGGCACTGCAAAAAAAGACATTTTATAGCTGTTGTGGTTTGGTCCTGTGGCATCTACCTGAGGCACTGGTCAGCAGACTGACAGCAACCTGCCCAAACAGAATTTCCACTGAAGATGGGCACAGACTTACCTGACTTCAGCTGAATCAAGTTTCCTATACAGCTGAAAGTAGTTTCTAATTAAAAGTAGCTGGCTTTTTGCCAAGACTAGCACCAGCTGAGGATGATTGTCCAATATTGTGTTCACTCCTCTTGGCAGACTATCACTATAGAAAAGATTCCATGACTTACATGCACAAGTTTAAACAGGTGACCATAATATTTTGATTTGCAAATGCTTGCAGAAGAGTGAAAATAGTGTCCCACTTTTCATAGATTTGAGATTAAGCTCTTTGCTGTTCCTAGAATTTAAATTACTAATGCAAACAGTTCCCTGTATTTAAGGAGTCAAAGTAGCAACACAAACACTGTCTGTTGTAATAACCTTTTCAGAGTGACCAAGAACAAGCATGTTTCTGCTCACTCAGTGCCGCAAGGAGTGTGCTGGTAACGCCAGAAATCACAAGAGCTTACTTCAAAAAAGCAATCCAAAAATCCTTTAAGGTTTAGTTTTTGTTACACTCAGACTTGTAAATCTTTAAAGAGCAAATTGTCCTGTTGAATGATTACATAAAGTAAATGAAGAGCCTTGCTGTCAGCCTGGCTTTTGCTGAGTCCTGTCATCTTTCTGCAGTACTCTGAGGTTTGTTGTTTGTTTTTTTTTACCTCCCCCACCCCCAACTGGTCTTGAAGCTGTTACTCTTCCACTTTACCTGTTAAGCCTTTGATGAGATGCCCGGTGCTGGGCAGCAGCGAGGCCAGGCAGCTCCTGGCCTTTCCAGAGCAAGGCTGCAGCTCCCTGGAGAACAGAACCAGGAGCTACAGGCTGTGGACACAAGTTTTCCTCTTCCACAGGCTCTGCAGAAGGCCGGTGCCATCCAGGACACAGAATTCTGTTATCCTGAGGGATTTTAGGCGTTGCTGTAGGGCTGGTACTGCACAGCAGCTCAATGGAAAGAGCAGAGAGGTGGGGCAGGGACATGGCAAACACCTCCAATCCAGCCCCAGTTAACCCTCAGAAAACACCCGAGACAGATTTTCTTTGATCTTTCTTGCTTTTGTGCCCAGTAACAGTCAACGGCATTAAAATGTATATAAGGATCTTCAAACTTCCCACAAGGAGGTAACAAAAGTACAGAAGAAAACTCTTCTCACAGCATCACACTGGAGCTCAGTTCTAATGTGTGGTGGACACAGATTAAACCTACGTGGACCAGGAATCACAAAACCAAACACATCTAACTTTAACAGCTTACAAGAGCCTGTGGCGCACTCCCCGTAGAGCAAGAGACAAAATGTCACGTGTTTAGCACAAGGCTGGCACAAGGATTGCTGCAGCCACTGAGTGTTATTTAATGCAAACCCCACTGCATTTGATAATTAGACCTGACACCATCTCTGGAGCCATCTGATGGAGA